TGTTTTTTCCCCTCAGCAGAGGTGTATTTCTGCCTCTTCCACCCCTTTCAGTGTTGTACCTTGTTGTGGGGTTCTTTTTGTCTACTTTCCAGATCTCTCTCAGAGGAAATTGTTCCACAGGTAGTTGTAGATTTGTTGTGTCCATGGGAGGAGGTGAATTCAGAGTCCTCCTACTCTGCCATCTTCCCCAAAATAAGCATTTAAACTGCATCTCTGAGTGCTTAAAGCAAGATTTCTAACAATAATCTTTTGCCTCTCAATGTCTTATGAGCCCATTTTGAATGCCCAATTCCTTGGAGGACATAATGTGGCTTGTATATTGTATGACACTATGGGTATTTAAGGAAAAATTATTTGATTACTTTTCTGTTTTCATTAGAGTCTATTTGAAGCATACTGATAGGAAAAGAGTAATTGTATTAGTGGCAATTGATTTTTTTAATTCTGTTTTGGTTTTTATTTTGGCTTACAATTCTCATTCACACATTCAATTTCTAATATCCTAAATTTATACTCTATCTAAGATAAAAACAGTTTTTATTTAAGTTGGTGATATTCATGTGAAAGTGTTGCTTAAGCACAAAAGAGTATAAATACCTTGTGCACTAAAGTGGCACTTGGATTTTAATATTAAAATACATTTTATTGGGTTAGTATATACACGTATATTTCCATTGTCTGTCAGTTGAGAAAACCTAGAAGCCATAACACCCAGTAACAACAAGCATATCTAGTGCTCAGATCCTGATTTCTAATACCCTTCTCCAATAAAAGGAACTAAGGTTTCTTGGAGAAATGGCTGATTCTACACAAGATGAGCCTAGGATACCTTCTAGTGTCAGAAAGTAAGGAAGTGCTGAAAATAACCCCACAATAATTGGGTATGTGAAAGGGACACAGGAGCCAACTGCGAGAGCTCCCAATGACCAAAGCTGGAACAATTTAAACAACAAAATTAATAAATTTAGTATTGGATTATAAGCCAAAGTATAAAAGAAATATCCATGAGTTGATATTTATATAAAAGATAGATAGATAGATAGATAGATAGATAGATAGATGAGAAAAAACATATCCAATACAGTAGAATTCCAAACAATTTATGTAACTACTCTACCTTCAGGGAGGTGGACTATAATGTCTTACTCCTTAAGTGTGGGCTGCACATAGTGACTTCCTTCCAAAGAGAACAAGATGGAGAGGGGGCAAAAAGAGTACCTTTACAGTGAAGAAACTTGACCAACACTACCTCAGTCAGGTGATCAATGTTAACATCAACAGTGATAAGTCATGTTGACAGAATGCACCCTTACTATAATGTGATAAGAATGGCATTTTATCTCTGTGGTCTTCCTACTGAAAATCCGTAACCCCGCCTAATTATGAGAATAAAGCAGACAAATCCCAATTGAGGGACATTCTATAAAATACCTGACCCGTACTCCTCAACATTTTCAATATCATCAAAAATAAGGAAAGTCTTAGAAACTGTCACAGCCAAGAGGACCCTAAGGAGATATGGTGACTAAATGTGGTATCTGGATAAGATTTTGGAATAGTAAAGGACATTAAATAAAAAGTGAAGAAATTACTTGAATAAAGTATGGACTTTAGTCAATAATAATGTGTCAATATTGGTTTATTAATTGTAAAAAATGTACCATACTAATATAAGATGTTAATAATAGGGGAAACTGAGTATGGGTATATAACTTTCTGTTATCATCTCAATTTTTTGTAAATCTAAAACTCTTCTAAAAACTAATGTTTAAAAATAAACACAACTGGGCCGGCCCCGTGGCTTGGTGGTTAAGTGCGCGCGCTCCGATGCCGGTGGCCCGGGGTTCGGATCCCGGCGCGCAGCGAGGAACCACTTCTCCGTCCATCCTGAGGCCAAGTCCCACATACAGCAACTAGAAGGATGTGCAGCTATGACATACA